GAGATGACCAAAGAGAAAACCGCGTGAATGTTTGCCGCGACTTGAAGAGTGAAGTGCAGAACGATCCAGAATTTCTTAAAAGATTTGTTCCTTCTGGTCGGCCATCTCACTAATCGCCAAAGGGTTGAAACAGGAACACACACAACAGAGCACCACAGACAAACCACTTAACTCAGACTGACGCCAGCTCACTAACAGTCGCAGGAGACCCCCAGCTAACACCACCTAGCAGCACAACTCGTAACTACAAAGCATGCGCGCGCAACAGGTCGTTTCCGGTTATTTTTGGGTCCCCCCTCGTACTATCCTATTAAGAAAATTTTAATGGTAATGGAAAGGAAATGAAAATGCAGACATAGATATAGTTTTACCTATTGTCTGTATGGATATGAGGTTTGGTCTCTCACCTGAAGGAAAGAGCATAAATTGAGGGAGTTCGACAACAGAGTAGTACAGAGAATATCTGAACCTAAGAGAGAGGAAACAGGAAGCTGCACAAAACTGCACAGTGAAAAGTTTCAAAATTTGTTCTCATCAAATATTATTTAGGGTGATAAAATTGAAGCGGATGAGTTAGGTGGGATGTGTAGCATATATGGGATGGTTAAGAAATGCACACAGAATGTTAGGAAACTAGAAGAGACCTCTTCAGCCACCATTCTGTAGATAGGAGGATAATATTCCAACGATTTTAAAGAAATTAGGTATCAGGATGTGGACTGAATTCATCTAGCTCAGGATATGATCCAGTAGCAGGATCTTGAGAACACAGTAATAAAAACACAGGATGTGAAGCTCTCATAATGGTGGTTACAAAGAGGTTTCTTTTCTGGGATGTAACTTCACATACTTACTTACTTACTCATGGAGCTGAGCCCTTCTTGAGGAGCCGCCAATTCTGCAGCTACTCAAGAATTTCCCAGCATTTCATGGAACCTGAAGGTTCATCACCATGTTCACAAGAGCCATCCACTGGTCCCTATCCTGAGCCAGATCTATCCAATCCATAGCATCCCATCCTACCTCTCTAAGATCCATTCTAATATTGTCCACCCACCTGCGCCTTGGTCTTCCCTGTGGTCTCTTTCCTTCTGGCTTTCCCACCAATATCCTATACGCATTCCTCGTCGCCCCCATTCGTGCTACATGACCTGCCCACCTCATCCTCCTCGACTTGATCATTCTAATTATACTTGGAGAAGAGCACAAGTTATGTAACACTACATAGTCCATTAAAAAAGTTAAACACTGTTTTGGAGGTATATGTTGCCTCCATCTTCAAGCTCAAATATTAAGCTAAGCAAGAAAACAGCATGAAGCAGGTAGAAAGCTGGTTCATTGCTTGGCTTATTCTTTGACCCTGATGATCGAGGTAACATGTTCCTCTGAAATATCAGCTGATTTTTAAAGGACTATGTGGCATTACAGCCAAGTAGAAAGAGCCCAACACAGTAACAAATGTTTGTGTTTCATAAAAGGCTGGAAAATTCTTGACTATCTGCAACTGGAAACGTGTTGCTCTTGATATAACCACAGCCCGATAAATGATACAAACTCCGTCTTAAGTGTAAACAATATATATTTATATGTCTTTGATCTTGTTCTTTCTACACTACATGTTTCGGCCTCTATCGGCCATCATCAGGTGTATACTCTTAACGTTTCTGCCACACTGAACCCAGTCTAAAACTTAACATTTAAAAACACAATGTCACATTCTTCGTATTATCAACATCTACATCGTTGATATGTGTCTGGTATGTGGATTATGTTGCACACGTCAAACCCGATATTCTTGTAGTAGCACTCTAAAAATCTTTAGTTATGATGTTTTTAAACCTTTTAAAATTTTCTCTAAATTTTAAATTTAAAATTTAGAGAATTTACTACATGTTTCGGCCCTAAATGGCCATCATCAGGTGTGTATCACTCACGTAGCTGTTACACTGCTTGTTAAAATTTAAAATGTAGTGTGGAGGAGGAAAAGAAGTAAAAACTACAATAAAATTTGTTGCACTTAAGACGGTATTTATCCATATATATTGTGTGAGTGTAACAGGAAGCTGAAATATAACATCATAACTAAAGATTTTTAGAGTGCTACTACAAGAATATCGGGTTTGACGTGTGCAACATAATCTACATACCAGACACATATCAACGATGTAGATGTTGATAATACGAAGAATGTGACATTGTGTTTTTAAATGTTAAGTTTTAGACTGGGTTCAGTGTGGCAGAAACGTTAAGAGTATACACCTGATGATGGCCGATAGAGGCCGAAACATGTAGTGTAGAAAGAACAAGATCAAAGACATATAAATATATATTGTTTGTACTTAAGATGGAGTTTGTATCATTTATCGTGAAGAGTGCAACAGGATGCTTAAATATAATATTATAACCACAGCCACTTGGCCCACACATTGTATATGTTTATCAGTAATTTATTACAAATGTGTATGCTATTGGATAACAACTGTAATTCTTAGTTGTGACTGTAACTAGGACGATCTCCACATCTGCATGAGAATGTATTCTCGACAGGATTTATGGAAGGTGAATAAATGAAATGAATTGAAATAAACTGGCATTTAAATGTCAAGCAGTGAACTGTGATAAATATAGTTCCTGTATGCAATGTTATCTCCTCACAGTTTCATTCTCCGCATCATGATTGCTGTTGTCATTGCATTTCGATTAAGTAACAGACAAGTTACCTCATGAAGTTCTTATCACAGACAGCAGTATGGGTCTTCCCATCTAGAGTCAGCCACTCATTAAGCAACCAAGGCTGAGAGCCAGCATCTCCCACTAGAGGGTAAGTTTCTATCAAAGTTGACAATGCTTGTGTCATATCCCTGTGGAAGCTCTGCCATGACTGATATGACTTACAATCAGCAGTATTTCTCTGTGGACAGATATGAAACAGGAATGTATGACATCATTTAACATACAGTTATCACAGCCACTGTATCACAAAGATCAAGTGATTAAACTTTATGTACAATTGCGAACAAAAGAAAACCTTTCTCTACAATACTTTCAGTTACACCCCTTAGGTCATTTTGGGTTCAAGGAACTTTTCATCCTGTCACTAATGAGATTTCTGGGACACTGGCCACTAGCATGAATGTCAATAAGGCACTTGGTTCCTTGTGCATAACTTTGCTTGGGACAATCCTGATTTTATTAAATTCAAGTGTTCTAAAAATTGTGTGAATTACTTACAATTTTCTTCAGATTGTTTAAAAATATGTGTACGAAATATGAAAATAAATTTCAGGAGTTATCAGCATAGTGTATATACTGTGACATGTCGACACACTGTCAGGCAACAGCTTGATAAACAACCTGTGATAGGCACATGAAACAACAGAACAATGGGGTTATGCAACCCATTTCTACGCAACAGCTCAGTAAACATGCTTCCCCACAGGTGTAATGACATCACTGCAACAGAGGGTAGCTGTCACGTGATGTGTGTTTTCTGTATACAGCAGCCAGCCTACCAATGGACTGGCTGGGTAGCCATCATATGACATGTGTTTTCTGTGATGTGTCCATGCTGTGTCTTCATAAGTGAGCAGAACTCCAAAGCTCCAAAGCTGGAGCAGTAAGCTGGAAGAGTGAGTGGCTGCAGCTCAGAAGCCATAATGGAAAAGAGTTGAGAGTGACGTGCAGTACAATGTAGGTAAGAAGTTAGTTGCAAGAGTGCAGATGTGAAGATAAGACTTTATGTGTAATATCTGGGGTGTAATTCACAGACTCCCATACAGAACTGACTAAGCTCTAGCCTTGTCCCTTGCTTATAACATCTCTGCATGGACCACATAGAAAACACAGTTCTTCTGTTGTTGTGTCTAGATTCATTCCCACAGAGATGTGTTTATCACACTTTTGCATAGCAACGGCCGGGGCATGGACCACAGGGAACACTGTTCCTCTGTTGCTGTTCTATTGTTGTGTTCATGTCTGTTGCTGTTGGAACATGTTTACCAAGCCATTGGCCAGAAACAGACCTGGTAGATCCACCCATTGTATAGCAATGGCTGTGCATGCTACAGTATATTATGGTCTCTTATTGACACATGTAAGCCCGCACATGGGGATCAAAATTTGCACTCTCCAAAATATGGAAGAGGTACACAGTGTAGAATAAACTGACATATATGGAGATGGGACACATAATGTTCCTAAGAATGAAAACCACATATACATAAAATATGTAAGTAAGAGGTGTATCTATTTTCTTTATTTGATGTGATTTCATTTCACATCTAAGAAAACTAGCCTAGGACTCAAAAATCTTGATCTCTAAAGACCTGACATGCTCACTTCCTTCACCTGCTCTCCAGAATACTGCTCAAAGAAGATACTATAGATCTTACATTAGTATCTTGAGTGCAGTCCATAGCGTGCAAAGTGAGAAGAATTTCAGATGCCAATTGACTGATGTTAGAAGAATCAAATGTAGCACTATTGGTAAGTCTGTTGAGTAGATACTCATGTCTTGAGACCAGGAAGTCTTCATAAGTGTTGACATTTGCTTCCTGCTTAAACCAGACACAACAGGACATCTGCAAAAATTACATTAATCATAATAATTACATTATAATCAGTAACAAGTAATATTGGTAAAAGGTCAAAGTAAAGTTGTCTGTGTGCTTAACTAATTAAGCACTATACCATGAAGACATATGGGGGAGTAGATGTATAGATCCACATTTTCTTCACCTTGGCACTAGTTGGAGGTGAGTGGTCAGCTTCAGGACCTGGCTGTTTTATCCCCAGGAAAAGAGTGCCCAGTACCCACTGGATAGGAGGTTTGGTGGACACCACAGCTGGTCTGGAAAACGTGGAAAAGAGAAAATTCTTGACCTTACCAGGACTTGAACTCCAACTCCTCAGTCATTCAGCCCACAGCCAGTTGCTATACCAACTATGCTATCCCGGCTTGTCAAGTAATATCAGAATCAATTTCATTTAAAAAAATACCAAAAACACTCTAGATCAGCATAATGCATTTTAGAGCTTTAAAAGATTAAACCTCAGGTATTCTAATTTTGAGATAACATGTTTCATAACAAACAAATAAGCCTAAAAAAATGAAATAATATTCAAGTGATATAGTGTAGAGCTTCTCCCCCATAGAGGATAACTATGGAAGATCTGACATTCTTATGGTGGTGGCTATTAAGATCATAGTCTTCTGAGATGTGAAGTTGTGTTGTCTGATACATAGTTACCAACATTTCATAAAAAGAATATGTAGCATGTGTAAATTAATGAGCATTATAATTATCTGTAGTTATAAGCATTCAACAAATCCAATTATCGATCTAAACCCCCTGTCTAGTCAGGAGCCTGACAGCACAGTCAGTATAACAACTGGCTATGGGCTGGGTGACTGAGGGATTGGATTTTGAGTCCTGGTAGGGTCAAGAATCGTCTCTTCTCCATGTCGTCCAGACTGGCTCTGGGGCCCATCTAGCCTCCTATCCAATGGGTACCAGGGGCTCTTTCCCTGGGGGTAAAGTAGCAGGAGCGTGAAGCTGATCACTCACCTCCAACTAGTGCAGAGGCCAAGAAAATGTTGATCTATACATCCAATCCCCCATACACCTTCATGGTGTTGTGCTTAATTAGTTAGGCACAGGATCAACTTTACCTCTTACTTTACAAAATATATGACTGAGAAAGAGAGTGAGAATGAGTGTGTATGCACACAAGCACTGCATGTGCATCTATACATGTATTTCTATCAGTCCTTTATGATCATTTTCCACATTGATCCTGACAATGGAAACAGAACATGTCTCCAGAACATTGGTTTTTCAACTCAGCTTTGATGCAGCTGATAGGTCCAAAAAGCTTCAGGCCTTATGTAACACAGACTATTTCTACTGCTGGATGCATCACAGAAAGAGGCATGAACAACATCATACAACTTGTATTGACTTTTATAAAGTTATTTCAAAAGCAAAGTTGCATACCCATATGTTCACCTGCCAAACTGTACTTCTCCCAGCCACCACTAACAGTGCTGTCCATCATCCTCCCTGATGTAGGTGACATTACAGTATAGCCAAAATATTTTGACCCATTAATCTGCTACAGCACTTAAGAAGACTCCTACACAAGAGCTAAAGTGAGAATGTGTCATTTTGACTTTGAAATAGAAAATTTCAATATGTATAATGATTGGAAAAGGACAAAAATCATGAGACATTCGGGTTTCTGTAAAATTGTTTCCCATGCAACCAGCACACCCCATTCCCATACATGCTGGATAACTAGGAGTTTACTGTGTTATGATTCAGTTAAGGTCTGTGACTCTACATTATGTTAGCCATAGTTCATTATTTCTCTCTTTCTCCCCTCCTTCTCAATTTAATAGCTTCTGTTCTCTCTTCCTCTCTGCTTCAGATAATGAATAATGTCCAACATAATTATAATGCAAATGGCATATAAGCTGCAGAAAATTGTAAGATACTGACAGTTACCTTAGCCTGAGCTAAGATGGGAGCCCAAAGCCAAGGGTTGGTTGCATCTGGTTGGTACATTTCTGTGCCCATCATCTGGTCTCTATCAGCAAAGGCATATCTCTCATAAAGATAAAGGTATTTCCTGGCAAGAGCAACTGGCACGGTAGTCAATTCTTCTGCAAGTAATGGTGACTTTCTAAATGGATTTTCTGTCATACAATTGCTGCTTGATTTTAAGGATGGACATGTGTGAATCTCAGGAGACGTCTTCAAATTCAAGAGGTGACTTTCAGCATAAGACATATACTCTACTGCAAACCTGTAATCAGCAACAGCAAAACATGTAATTTCAATTTTTATGTGACAGATTTAGCATCTGGAACGCTTGTTCTGTCATCAGAGATTGAATGATATCACTGGAGGGGGGGTCCTTCAAAGCATGAGAGGTTAGCAGTTGGTTTATGGAGATAGTGCTTGTGTCTTGCATCAACACTGTGTACATCTGTATTGGTCTGAAAATGTTCTTAATTATTTGTAATGAAGTTTATTAATGAAAATTTACATGGAAGAGTTAGTTAGTACTCTAGCCTCTACAAGAATTACGGGATTTCACACCCATCAAGCCTAACAGTTTTCTTTTGCAATGTAAATACCTTTTGCTGTCCGATGAATTACCCCAGAAAAGTATTCCATATTTCATTAAAGAGTGCAAATAAGCTAAATAAGTTGATTTGAGGGTGTCAGTATTGCTGATATGCAGCACAGATCTAACCACATAACGTGCTCCACTTAGCTTTGAAACCAACTGATTGATATGGGTTTTCCTGCTTGAATGATTATCAGTTTGTAAACCAAGGAATTTTGTGTTTACTGCCTCATCTATATACTATTTATCATTACAGCCAATGTTTAATGATTACTGTGATTAGTTTTTTGTTATAATTTTTAATGCAGGGACAGCTTGATTGCAGAAAACCATTTACTCACTTGAAAGAGAACTTTGTTTGACAATATGCAGAAATCACCTAAATTTTTACTAGAAATTATGACACTAGCATCATCAAGAAATAATATGTGTATTGATGAGGTTTTTAGGGTAGGAGGGAAGTCATTTATACAGATTAGGAAAATAAAAGGCCCTAGAATTGACCCCTGGGGAATTCCATGCTTTACTGTTCCCCAGTTTGAGTAGATATTTTATATTAAATCTAATGATTTTATTTCAGTCTTTTAGATAGGATATGAACCAACTTGCTGTTGCTCTTTGAATGCGAAAAAAAAAAAGTTTAGTTAATAAACTTTTGTATACATTAACCACAATTCAAGCAATAATCACAACACTGAGTTGAAAGGTCATATCAAATGCACTAGAACTGTTTTGTTCTCAATTTTGTCATACATGGAATGAATGAATGTGACTCTCTCTCACTTTTAATTTAGTCATAATTCCCTGAGAGTGAAAAAAGACATAGCTGTGAACTTCAGCCTTCCTGTCTGGCTAAAGAAACACACAGGGAAACTAATAATATTTAAAAAATCAGAATAATTGTGATTATATTAGAAGGCAATTTGTATGAAAGAAGTTTGGACTACCTCCAACCCCAAATGTTTCTATTCACTTATAAATAATAATAATAATAATAATAATAACAACAACAACAACAACAACAACAACAACAAGGACAATAATAGAGAGAAAACGTAACATTTACATCAATAATATACCACTTCTCTGACCACAGTTCTCTTTTTGTAACATACACAAAGTCTATAATTTAGGTTCTCTGGATTTCATTGTATACAGCTTTACTTTGTATCCTTTCATCAGCAATTCATGTTAATGTATTACACATAACTACCACAGCTGGAATCTACAGGAACACCCACCTGAAGCACTTACTCATCTGAGATGCATTCTGTAAGGGCAAACACTCTGCTATGTAACTTGCAAAAGTAATGTCCTGGTCACCATGTCTGACATCTGGGAACACTGTACTGCCCAAGAACTCAATGCTATGAAGCAGTGCAGCAGCCGCCTTCAGCTGTAATGTATAGGTATTATGTCACTATAAAGACAGCACTTCATTACGGTAGAGTCGCTCCCACTATCTTGAGACTTCAAGAAGGGACTCACTCACTTCACAAGTAATGTAGTAATTATTCACCCTCTACAAAGGGTGCATAAAACCTGTACATAAATACAGCAGACATTGTATCTGGCTGTTTCTTCTTTGGATTAACTGAATAGATTTTGGTTAAATTTGGTGTTAGTATTCTACATCAAGAGTTTTGGGTAAAATTAATTTTGATATACATTCCCAAGGAGACTTTTGTAGGAGATGGCAGCTAAAATTGAGTACGTTAAGCCACCATTTCTTTTTTTAACTAGTCTGGGAACTTTCCAGTACATTTCATATTCACCATGGTGACAAAGTAAGTGCTGTCTTCACAGTGAGCATCCTGTTGCCTGTCCTAAACGTATATAATTAGGTTAACCGCTGCCACAACAAAGTGATTTATAATCAATCAATATTTTTTTTGGTTCATTATAAATCACTCTGTTATGGTGACAGTTAACCTAACTATATATGTTTGGGACATGCAACTGGATGCACACTGTGAGGATAATTCATGCAAGTCATGCATTTAGCATATAAAATACTGACTGATTATAAATCACTTTGTTGTGGTGACAGTTAACGTAACAATATATGTATGGAAAGTGCACCTGATCAAGATCTCTAGCTTCTACCTGGACATGATCATGTATAGTAGTATAGTATTTATTCAGTGAATTTGATTTGTTTCATTCTGGTCCGTCACACTAACAATTACAAAGACAAAAATAAGACCGTCTAATGTGACTATTTAAGTTTTATCATTTGAAGACTCATCACCCTTTCATGTTTCGATCCCTACGGATCATCCTCAGAAGGCATCAATACTTTTTCGGAAACTACTATTACAATAGATGTTAATTATATACATACACATATAATGTTTGAAATGCACAATGTATGCAATGTTCAACCTCTCTCATTCACAGCGGCCTTCCTGGTGTTAAAACTTTTTGAAGTTTTTTAAAAACTTTCTAGTTTAAGCTTAAAATTTATAAACTATATAGGTTCATGTCAATTCTCCTATGTTATTCTTGGAGGTGGCTTATCCTGTGCCGCCTGTCTATCTTGTGAAAGAAGATTCCTAGTATTTCCGTGTTTATTCGTGGCCTGCAGGGTACTTTGGCCACGACGACTATACTCAGCACTGGCACAAACGGGGCACTTCAGACGTTAAAGGTTAAGTTGCAATCCATGATGTGTAGAGTCATTCTTGTTCAATTTAGTCTGAAGAAAATCCACATTGTCCACAGTCTTTATTATTTTATGTAACTTCCTGTTGAACACCTCCACCTCTTTATTCACACATGATGTCTCCTGCAGATCATGTCTATGAGGGGCAGTTACTACTATAATATTCATATTTTGCCTAGTGTTCCCTTTCCTTGCATTTGACTTTATTAAGCTTCAAGATCATACTCTATTGATTATCTGCAATACTTATTTCTGTTATGTCATTCTCCAGTGATAATGTAATCGCTGAAGAACTTACTCCTGTTGCAGCTGGTATGGGAAAAGTGGTATTAACTTATCTAAAAATACTGACTTGCTTTTTAATATCTATTCAAGATAAATCTTTGTTTTAAATACTGAAATAAGGTAAGATCTCACCTCAATTTTTGCAATGATCTAATTAAATTCCTGTCACATCACAACTAACCTTACTCACTGGAAGAACTTCATCAATACACCACTTGACTAACTTATGAAACAGAACTATCTTCAGAACACGAAATGGTTGAAAGAGTCTGACATATTGGTTCGGCCAGATGAGATTTAACGTGCCAGAGACTGATGAATAACACTGCACAAATACATCCATGAGCTGGTCTACAATCTGTAAATACACAGTGTTAATATGTTGGATCTGAGGTTCTCACAACAGTGACAATGAAGAGTATGTTCTTCTGGGTTGTAGCACTGTGTAGTTCAGAAGAATATATCACCCTATCTTCAAGCTCAAAGAGAAGGCCTAGCAAGAAACCAGCACAAAGCAGATTTGCTCTTTGCTGGTTTCTTGCTTGGCTTACTCTCTGAGCCTGAAGATGGAAGTGGTATGTTCCTCCAAAATGTCAGGTTTTCTCTGAACTACACAGCATTATAACCCTCATTTAAACAAGTGGAAATATATTTACTCACACAATTTGCACAATTTTTGCCCAGATATCAAGGCTGAAAGTTGTAATGCATAGTTTCATACATCAGATTGAAGTTATTAGAGTTGAATGGACTTCACCATGAAGTTTCTTGATGAATACTGAAGCATCAGCACAATGTATTTTACTTTAACTCTATTTTCTGCCAAAATTATGCATTTGTTGATTTTAAATAAAGATAAAATATTTTTCTTTTCAGAACTTCTTGTCTAGAAGTAAGGGTGCATAAATTACGTACATAAATACAAATTTTTTGTTACTGAAAAATTTTAATTTCTGTCACAGTAATATAAAACAAGTTTCCATGTGCATATACAGTATATAAAAAAATGTACTGAATAACACCATGCAATTCCAAAATCTGCAGTGCTAGACTTCACGACAGTTAATGATTCATATTGCGTCTTTGTGACACAATGAAATTGGAGTCAGTAACATATTAACACAGCATTGCTAAATCCTGCAGTGTAACAGCCCCATTTGTGCTTTTATATGAATCTGAATGTTGGTGATTATCAGAGGAATAAATTAGAAAAATGGAGGCAGAAACACATTTCCTCATAGTGGTCATACGATACATAACAACTGATTATAAATGTTATGAAAATATTAGAGGATATGTGGGAATAACAGGTATCAAGAAAATAATAATGAACTATCAAAAGAAATGGCTAGAACATTTGACAAGAATGTCTGAAAACTAAGGTCTCCAGAGACTAACACTGAGAAAGTTAAGACACGTTTTAAGTGCATATATACTTTTATATATCTAAGATATGAGGGTAAAAGCTTTGCCATCTTGGCAACATGACACACTGCTTACAGATGGATAGATTGTAAGTTATGTAACAATACTGTATCAGGTGCAAAGGTTATTTTGCATCATATGATACAAGGATGGTCACGTCTGGTGAAACTGCAAGAACTGTAGTAGAAGTGGTCATGTCCTATCACAATGTATTATCCTGGCATTCAACTGTGGGGTTTGAGGAAAACAATTAAATCCTAGGTACCACAGCTGAGATTCAAACCAGGCACCACCCGAATACAAGCCAGGATTGAGCCAAACTGCTCAGTCACTGCATATCTAGAGAAAGAAAGGTTTTACAGCTACTCCTTCCAAAACATGACATCTCACCTGACTCCATTCTTCTGTATTGCAGTCCAATATACCAGAGACAAAATCTGCACTGGGTACTGGTTCATGTTTTCCCAAGGATTCTCTCTTCTCTGTACCACCCACCATTTCATGAAGACAATGACTTAAATTCACAAACTCATTATTTATTGAAGGTGACAAATGTGAAGTTTCTTCCTTGTCACATGTTTTTTCTGACTCCCTCTGATAATATAATGCCTTAATGGACTCCTGTAAGTTTTGGAGGCTCTCTTGAAATTTCTCTCTTGCATCAACAAGGTTTGGGATTGTCTCAGGACTATTTGAAAGCAATGCATCTGGAATATAAAAGTATTTCTACATATCACATCTGACAAGAGATTGTGTTGTTACTGACACTTTCTCAGCTGCATTGGCTATACAGCACTGAATAAGGATATCATGACTGATGAAATGGAAGGGACATGGAAGGATGTCATCATGGTATATTTTAAGGTAGTATCCCAGAATTTGGCTGGAAAGAATCTAAATAAGCAATTTCCAGGCAAAGATTTGCACCCAGGATCTTCCAAATATGAAAGTGTGGAGGGCTGACCACTCACCTTGCATTCTGGTGAGAAGGAGAGAGCTGGACAGAAAAAGGTACACAGTACTAGGAGAAGTACCGCTAAATCCTTGCCAAGGTTCTACATGAATGTTTGGAATTTAGCTAACTTTGGTCTGTAGTACAACCTGACATACTGACACGTCCAATGAAAATATAACAACGTCTCCTACTTTATATGTAATCTATACTGTTATTGTTCATTTATAAATATAAATGAACTATAGAAATAACAAATTGATTACTGTATGAAAATTCTAGAACAGGATTTTGTACATGACTGATGGAGGATCAGTTGAATATTTCATTATGAAACACACATTATGGGATCACTTTATAGTCCACTCTAAAGGGTTCTGACAATGGTGCATAAAGCTCAGGATTACTGAGTTTTGGGAATTTTTCCGCTGCCTAATGTTGTAAAGAACATAACACTTCAGAAACTGGATCTGTTTCATTCCACCGGTGAAACGGGGAGAGGCACTTACACCATCAGGTCCATCAGAAAGAGCTAACCTCAAACCGGTCCAGTGATAGAGGTTAGCTCTGCTTGCTGCCTGCTGGTTTCTTGCTTAGCATTACCTTCAACCCTGAAGATGGAGGAGATACTTTCCTCCAAAACTTCAGATTACTTTGTAGTGGACTACGCTGTGTTATATCCCGGAAGACAGAACTCTTTGTAACCACTGCTGTGAGAACCTAAAATTCTGCATAGGTGTTTCTTGTTCCCATGCATGCTACACATACAGCCCATAAGTGATTAGACTAGGATTCTGTGACAGGATTTTGTGATACCAGTGACAAACTTTTACATGAAATAAGAAGAGAATCACTCTTAATCTGGTTAATAAATATAACCTTCTCATCGAAGATCCTAAACCATGGTCAGTCACTTAGGTCATATTGCCATTACACCATACTATATAAAGCACTCATATTATTAAAAAGTTAAAGGCAGCCTTTTCCAATCCAAAATATATTCAGTCAGAAGGATTCAATTAAAATATTTGGAATAAAATTTTTATTTAGGTGACTGAGGAATGCATACTGGGTTTTGGTAGGAAACCCAGAAGGAAAGAGACCAGTAGGTAGAAGAATATTTAAATGAATCCTAGAGAAACAGGATGAGGTGGTATGGACTGATTTATCTGCTCAGGTTAGGAACCAATGGCAGGCTCTTGTAAGCATGGTAGTGAACCTTCAGGTTCCACAAGAAGTCTTGAGTAAATGAGTGACTGGTGGGTTCTCAAGGACTCAGCTCTATGAAGTTATTTAGTTAGTTAGATTATAAGATAGTGTTTACATCCGCGTTGATCATAAAGCTTTACTTCTAAGATTTTGCTCTTTGATGGAACTTAAAACAGAAGTTATTGTATATTAAAAGCAAAATTTGTATAAAAATTCTATATATTTTTTTAATGTAACATAAAAAGCATGTCTAATGTTCCTTTTATATTTTTAGTTTCATGGGGTGGGGTGAACACCCCAGATAGCTCAGTCGGCATAGTGACAGGATACAGGCTGAATGGCTTGGGTTCGATTTCTGGCAGTGCAAGATATCTCTTCTCCATAGCATCCAGACCAGATCTGGGGCCCACCCAGTCTCCTATCCAATGGGTATCAGGGGCTCTTTCCCTTGGGGCAAAGTGGCAGAAGCATGAAGCTGACCATTCACCTCCATCTAGTGCCCAAGTTAAGAATGTCTTCATGGCATAGTGCTTAACAAATTAATGAAGGAATTGGTTGAGCTGAGTCCATTTTGTATGTTAGCCACTACTTGGCCTACTGTACCAACCCAGGATGACAGATGAATATGGTGCATTTGGTTCAATGAGAATTGGCAGGGGAAACTGAAGTACCTGGAGGAAACCTGCCCCTGTGCCACTTTGTCTACCATAAATCCCGCATGACTTAACCTGGGATTGAAGCCAGAATGCTGCAGTAAGAAACCGGCGACCAACTGCCTAAACTATGGCATAGCCTTCTTTTGTATTAGTATATTATACATACGACTAGAACATGGTTTAAATATCATTGTTTAAAAATATTCGTTACCCTGATAAGACAAAAAACATAAGAATAAAACCAATTTATTACCCTGAAATATTCTGGCTTCCACCAAGCATGCATCTTGGTACCTAGAAAACAAAGAATGAGAAATCTTGCCCATGCTGTGAAGTCTTTTTATGAATTTCTCTTTAACATCAGGAGTGTCTGGGATTACACGAGGTGTGAGCAGCTTGAGAAGAAACTCTTGCTCAAAATGTTGGCGGCGGAATAAGCTTCCACTCAGCACTATCTGTGCCACTTCTCCATTGTGTGTTTCGAAGTGTTTCAGTGCATGTTCTATGTCTTGCTCTGTAGTCTGAAACAAGAAAATAACGCAATTAAAGACACTTTGGGTTATAGCTGTAACCCAGAAGAAGAACCAAGGCTTGTTATTTTCATAAAAATGATAATGATGTGGATACAGGATGAAGTTAAATAGATAAAACATGCATCTAATTCTGTACCTCTCTCATACATATATTTTAATAGTTAGTGACAAACTGTATACACATAACTAAATTAGATGAATATAGTCTGTATGGCAACTGATGTTACTAATGAGCTGACTGGTTTCATGTTACTTGAAATGATTTTATAAACAGCACTAACTAATAAAAGATATTACAGCAGCGGGATCTGAATGCTAAACACTGTTAACACCCCTATCTTGAGCTGGTACCTTCCACTCTCCATCCTAGCACCTTATCTCCCTGTGATCCATCTCAATGTTACCTGCCCATTTTCTCCTTAACATTCCATATCCCATTCTAGCCACATGTCCAGCCCATCTAAGCCTGCTTGATTTCAGTATTCTGATAATATTAGGTAAGCTGCATAAATAAAAGTTCTTTCTTGTATAGCATCATACATTGCTCACTAACTTGATCCTTATCAGATACAAATATTTTATTCAGAACTCTGTTTTTAAACATTTATTCTTTATGTTATTTTGTGTTTCACATGTTTCAGCATTTTTGAAAACAGATGGAATAACAGCAGTTTTCAATCTGAACAATAACAAGTATTTCCAAAATGTAATCTTCTCCTTACCTTACCTTGTAGCTCATTTCTATTTATTAGTACCATTGTCAGATTCTTGCATTCCTGAATTAGTTATTATATGTAATTACAAGGTTAGACAATTAACTTCTAGGACTGCACACATTTTAGGAAAACCACATATGTTTCAATATTCTTCAAAATAATCTCCTTGATATGTCAAACTCTTCTGTCAGCACTTTAACTCATTTTCATGTAATGCCGATTCCTTTGTTACAGTTCTTTTAATGTCCTCTGTCTCTCCAAATCTTCTTCCTATCAACATGGATTTGACTTTGGGAATAAGAAAAAGTCTGGTGGGCATAAATCAGGAGAATATGGGGGGTTATTTAGTTCCGGAATCCCTTGTTTTGCCAAAAACTGCTTTATTGATGCTGTAGTGTGAGGTCTCACATTGTCATGCATGAGGAACCGGCTTCCAATTTCATGAAAACCGAGTTCTTACCAACAAATTCTTTGAAACAGATGAGACAGTACTTCCACATAATATTCCTTATTCACTGCCTCACCTGGTGGAACAAATTTTTTGTGAATGATTCCCTAATTCTCGAAGAATGTGACTAACATCTTTTTGTTTTTTGACTTTTGAAATCAAAATTTTTTGTGGTTGGAGATCTCTGCTAGCTCCATTCCATACTCTGTCTTTTTGTTTGGAGATCATACTGGAAACACCAGGTCTCCTCACTTGTTAAAAATGAGGTAAGCAAGGATTGATCATCACCCACAGACTGAACAAACTTTTGACAAACTTGCACTTTGAAAGCCTTCTATTCATTGGTCAAACAGTGCAGAACAAACACAGTGTAGATTTTCTGTTTTCCAAGATCTTCCATTAAGATTGTGCAAATTGCTTCTGTGCTAATTTTGAGCTCCTCTTCCATCATCTAAAGAGTCATTTGGCAATCAGTTGAAATCAATTCTGAAACTGATTTTATCATGTCAGGTGTTCAAATGGCCATTGGTCATTCACTGCATTCATCTTTGAGATTTTTATGGCCATCCTGAAATCTTGCATACCATTCAAAAACCCGTGTACAAAAGACAGCATTGTCACCATAAGCCTGTTTTATCAGCTTGAAAGTTTCAGCGGTTGTTTTTCTTGTCTTGAAACAAGCTTATTGTTTGCTCTTTGCTCCATCACTATTAACAGTGACAATGTTTTTCCTAACATAAGTGTAACGTTAACTTTTGAGTGAGTGGTCATATACAAGTATCCCTATATGTACTTATGTTCACTCACAATTTCAGGTTTCAGAAAATATAAAATATCATAGTGAAGTATTAAACTGATATATATGCTACATACATGCTGTCTCATTTTGGTTAAAGAAATACAAGTTTCAGAAACTAGCTCTGCTTCCATCTTCAGGTAAAAGTATGAAATCTACACCGTTGGTGTATTAGGTGGAATTAACCTCAGGAAGGGACATTATCTCCATCTAATGGATCTGATACAGTAAGTGTCATACATTTACCTGATAAACGAAACGAAGTGAGCTTCTGAAAAGTTATGTCTCTTTAGTCAAAAGAAAGTGGCAATGCATGTCCAGTATATGTATCAGCTTAATAACACATATTCATCACAACATTTTAGATTTATATAATGTATTATCTCCTATAGCATATTATGTTGTTATAAATCATAATATTTGGAATAAACTCTCAGCCACCATATACCAGATGTACTTCAAATGACTTCATAACTCTTAAACCAATAACCAGATAATGCTGTGGGATTAAACAAATTTTTGGTGTATCTTTGTATCATATTTGCCACAATTTGTACAGCCACAATAGCCAAGTTAGTAACTTGATGGTTACAGGTTGGATTACTGGGGTCTGATTTCTGACAAGGACAGATTTTCTTTTTTTCCCTTTCCCACTGCACCCAGACTCTCTGTAGCTGACCTTGCATTCTATCCAATATATATCCAGGGCTCCTTCCCTAGGGGTAAAGCAGTCAGAGTAGGAAGGTGACCATAAACTTTCTGCTAGTGCTGAATTTAAGAATGTGTGGAGCCTTACCTCCACTCAGCCATCTGCCTTTATCATAGATGTTTAAGCACAGGGACAACTTTACCTTTACTTTATATTACACTTACAAATCCAGGCCCCAACAGTCCAAATCCTGGTGCTTCATTGAGATCTTTTAGTCGAGTTTTTGCCAAAGTTACATAATCCCGCAGCAGAAACAAGCTACTCTGAGGACTTGCAGGAGCCTGTGAAAAACAACAAAACTATATTTCAGTCAAATATCATTACCTAATACCTATTTGGACATGAGACTGTATAGTTTTTCCAGAAAAATTCAGTTTATTTTCTGGTAATTCTGTCTTACTGCAAGGGGGAAATAAACCTGTGATGTTATGGAAAAGAAATTTAAGTAAAAAATTGGTAAAAATGAGACTGTTGTTTAGTCTTCTTCTCAGAAGTGACATTTAGTCATATAACCTTATTTTCTGTAAAACCACAGAAATTGAGAGACAAAAATGGAAACATTAAATTTAAATTCTCAAAATGTAAGTGTTCACCACCATTAAATCAGAATATCCCTTAACTGAAGAGGTAAACTGATGTTAATCATGATTTGTATCGGTATTACATACTATCTACGTACAAGTCAAATATTCTGGAGAATGGATTCAGGGTACTATTAACAAGAGGATGTTAAACACCCAATATTATTTAAGAGTGGGCATTTGAATGTATCTGGATTTGTAATTATACATGTGGGAAATTGTATGATGAATGAGTACTGGATAACAGACACTCAAAAATTAAAATATATATAAGAAGCATAGAAGGTTCATAGTTTAATACACTGTATGCACATTATGGAATTAATGAGAACTGCTATACTTTAAATGCAAAAATGATGAACTGTCGCAATAAGCGGATCATCTAAATCTAACATATATTTAGAACAACTTTAACAGTCAGTCAGCATCAACAGTAATGTACAAGGTGGTTCAAATATGACTGGGACTGATTCTTCAATGTACTCCCCTCGGGAGTCAACACATTTTTCAACGTTCTGGAAGCATCATGATGCCCTTTTCAAAAAAGGCTTGTGGATGGCGGCGTATCCACTCCTGAACAGTCTGGATGATGGCATCGTTGTCCACAAACTGCATGCCTTGCAAGTCTGATTTGAGCCTTCCGAACAGGTAGAAATCATTTGGGGCCAAATCAGGACTGTACGGCGGATGTGTCAGAAGGTTCCACTTCAATTTCTGGAGGGTTTCCATTGTTATTTTGGCTGTATGGGGGCATGCATTGTCTTGAATGAAGGCTACCCGCTTTCCACCTGTCTTCCACTTGGATCAGATCCTTTGCTTCATGTCTGTTCCAGGAGGTCTGAGTAATAAGATGCATTGACTGTTCTGGCATCTGTCAGAAAGTCTACATGGATAACCCCCTGCCAGTCCCAGAAGAACACTGCCATCATTTTTCCTGCCGAACGGCTCCTCTGTGCTCTCTTAGGTTTGGGAGAACTGGTATGCCACTACTCACGTGATGACTGCTGGGACTCGGGAATGAAGTAGTGCACCCACGTTTCATTGATGGTCACTATAGACTCCAAAAATGCATCCCCTTCGTCTTCAAACTGCTATAGGAGACGACTGGCAGCTTGCATGTGCACCATTTTGTTCACATCCATCAAAGTGCGTGGTACCCACCGTGCATTCACCTTGCGATAGTGCAGGTGGTATTTCACGATGTCTTCTACATTACCAACACTGATGGACAGCATTGCTCCAAGTTCCTTGATAGTGATGTGCCTATTCTCACGAATAAGCACGTCTGCATGATCAATGTTTGGCTCGGTGACAGATGTTCATGGCTGACAATCATGCGGTTCATTCTCCACGCACTCTCTGCCCTCTCTGAAGCACTTACACCACTCAAACACATGGGTCCGTGAGAGACACTATTCCCCATACTGTTGCTGGAGTCTGTGGTGAATTTCAGTGGATGGGACGTTTTCTCCAACGAGGAATTTGATCACAATGCGTTGTTCCACGCTCCGTGGTACCTTTGCTCATCACTCTAGCAACTCCCAGGCAGAACTGAACAGGTTCTAACCCAAACAGGAGGGGGGCAGAGGTTGTGGCTTCACTCTCTCAAGGTTGCACAGCTGCTACACAGTGTGGCTTGTTTACACACAAATCAGTCCTGGCCATATTTGAACCACCTTGTAGCACTGGGAGAGTGTGGTTAATTTTGGTGAATGTGGTAATTATTTTATGGGTATAATGGCTCCAAGATTCTTCCCTAAGTGGTATCATTTTACATGCATTATTTAATGATTTCAACATTGAGACTATGTAGCACCATATTGGAGGGGGCTGATAGATTTAATATGAATTGGAAAGAAACTGGAAGAAAGAGGCTGTGGACTAATCAAAATACTGCCCCAGAATTTGTTTGGAGGGGTTGAGGAATACGATGAAAAACCTCAGTCAGGAAAATCAAAGTCCTCGCTGAGGTTTGAACCAAGTCTACGTCTACAGCATTTCCTTTAGGCTAACCTATTCGGTTTAAAAGGTCTTAAGATAGCAGGTTAGAAGGAAATGAAGTTGACTGAAATGGTTCAGGATGTGTCTCTTGGTAAGCATCAGTATTGATATGATGTGTACAACTCACCTTATTGATATGAACTCTGAGACATGTTGGTGGCTCATGTGGAACTATGTCAGTGAGGAAACTGATAAAAAACTCGAATGTTTGTTGAGTGGCTGAAGTATGAGTAGCCCAAGATGATCCAGAGCCAAATGTTGTCCCAAACCAAGACATGTACGAAGTGAACCAGGGAGCACACTCCTCTGCACAGCACTGCCTTGCTATGAGAAATGCGGCAGCAAGCAGACTGAAGTTATGATTCAAAAATGCTTTGTTAAGCAGCCAGTCTATGAGCCCTGCAAAACAGAAGGAAGTTCTGAAATAGTTACAGGGTTCATGTTTTATTTCCTACTAAAATTTCAGTTCCATTTGTCATTATCTGATTGTAGTTATTAACTGACAAATCACAGTTTACATATTTGCCTAATTTCTTCCCGTTTTCTTTGCTTTAAGTGTGTTAATGAGTATGCGGTAGCGTAGTGGTTAAGGTACTATGCTCCAAGTCGGAAGGTCGTGGGTTCAAGACCCGATGAGGTCATTGGATTTTTTCAATTGACCTAATCCTTCCGGCCACACTAGGCCCTGGGGTTTACTCAGCCTCTAACAGAAATGAGTACCAGGAATTAATTAAATAATTTTCCTGGGGAGTGAAGCATGGCCGGCGCGTAAGGCTGACAACCTTACCGCCATCTTTGAGCCGACTGTCAAGGTAATGTGGGACCCTTAATGTCTCACAACCCTATGGGCCTTCATGGCCTGTTATAGGGATAGCTTTACTTTTACTTTTTAAGTGTGTTAATGGAATGCATTCGGAGAATGCTGTGTCACACAATTCTTCTACTATCTCAAAATTTCAGTAAAATCTGTCAACCCGTTTCAGTTATTGTTAAAATCACACAAAAGTTATGACAAGTTTATGTCAAGGCCTACATGTATTTCAACACATTCAAAGCATGATGTGAAATGCTCACTCAAGGGGGGGGGGAAGAGACATTTCACATACTTTATCACACAACATACACTTATTTTCTTCAAAATACTACTTATATAATTTTATTTTGGGAGACATTATCCATAAATTACTGAAATTTAATCAAAACTCTTACAGCCAAGTTTGAGAAAAATTTTGTTTCATGAAGTTCATCTGAAGGGCACCTATTTGTGGAGCTAGAATGTTCATATTCACTGGATACTAGCCCATTATGGATAAACTCTTAAATAATGAATATAAATGCAATCCATCTGACCATTCAGGTTCTAGCAAGGCACACATACATACATACATACAAAAAGCATAATTCCAAAAATCGCTTTTTCATATTCAGGGGATGCTGAAAACTTGTAAATCTGTCAGAAATTCAAGATTAATTTTTTCACCATCACAATACTTTCTCATATATATTATATAAAGTAAAAATTTTCAACAACTGAACCTGAGACCTCCTGAATAAAAAGTATGAGTATTACTCATGACACAATACTCACAGTATACAGATTCATTACTTTTATTTACAATGAATAATACAAACTTGTTTTTTATTAATGGCGAGATACATGAATACAAAAGTAGAGTTCACACAGATATACCGTATGTCCAAAAAGTATCCGACTTTATTTTTTTCCACTGTAAGTAATGGCCAAAGGGGTGGGGAAACTGAGCGTAGTGGTAGAAGGGACTTTCATGCGCATGCGTGATTTTTTGCTAACTCGCAACACTGCTGGATGCGTCTGTGGCTGCCAGATAGCGAAGTGGTGTAGCGTGTGTTCGTTGCATTCTCGTTTCGCACCACTAGGCCAGACTGTCAATAAGGAGTACTACCAAGAAGTCCTCCGCCATCTTCGTGATACAGTTCGGCACAAGAGACTGGAGGTGTGGGACAAACACAACTGGCAGCTTCATCATGACAATGGCCCAGCTCATTCATCACACCTGATCCAGGGTTTCCTGGCCAAGCATGGCATTCTGCAGGTTCGCCAGGCTCCCTACTCTCCTGACATGGCTCCTTGTGATTTCTGGCTGTTTCTGAGATTGAAGACATCGCTAAAAGGCTGCCGTTTTGACAGCCACAAGGACATCATACAGAACACGATGGCGCAGCTGCACACCATTCCAAAAGAAGCCTTCCAGAATTGCTTCCAGTGATGGAAGGGCTGCTGGGCTAAGTGTGTGGAATCACAAGGGGCCTACTTTGAAGGTGATTAGGTACTGTAACCACCCAGATACAGAACTTTTTTTCCCGGCCCAAGGTCGGATACATTTTGGACAGAGTAGTACATATGCCTGCCGTGAATCTGACAAAATATAAAAAGGGACCCTATATAACAAGTATAAAAGTATTTAATTCTCTCCCTCAGTCAATAAAAATGTTAGTTAATGAGGAGAAAAGTTTTAAATCAGCACTAAAGAGGTTTTTGTATTATCATTCCTTTTATTCTATGAATGAATATTATCAACATGCAAATGAATGAATGAAAATGATATATGTAGTTAACATATTTTATGTTTGAATTAATTAATTGAACTTTTAGTATATTTTAATATTTATATCTTGTGAAATGTATATGTTATGTTTGTGTTGTGTAAGCTTTTACGAGTTGTAATTTAATCAATTTTAACTTGAACAATTTCCACTTTTTTGTGGTTTGATTATCACTATGTATAATTTCGTTTTATGACTGCTCTGTATGTGACTGAGTTCTATTTTATGAACTGTTCTTGTGTATGTTTTGATTTCATTGTGACTTGTTCAACATCCTAGACTTCACCAAAAAGAATTTAGTGAATTTAAAGAATAAATGAAAAATGAAAATGAACTCACTAACCCATGATGATTGGTTAAATTTCCTTACACTCTACTTCTGTTTGAAATATTTTTTGACACAGTGTCTATTTAACAGAATAAAACCAGTTAAATCCCTGGAACTGAGCTCTTTTTGTTAAACTGCCAGTTGTGCAGCTACTCAAGAATTTCTCAACATTTTATGGAACCTGAAGGTGTATTACCATGTTCACAAGAGCAATCCAGTCTATAGCACCCCATCCCATCTCTTTAAGACTCATTTTAATATTATCCGCCCACCTATGTCTTGGTTTAAGGTCTTGGTCTTCCTAGTGGTCTCTTTCCTTACGGCTTTCCCACCAATATCCTACAAGCATTCCTCTTCTCCCACATTCATGGTACATGCCTTGCCCATTTTATCCTTCTTGACTTCATCATTCTAATTATACTTGGTGAGGAGTACAAGTTATGAAGCTCCTCATCATGTCTTTTCTCCGACCCCCTGTATCACTTCATCCTTCTTTGTTCCAAATATTCTCCTCGGGTTTATCTAAAGAATCTGCCCAAATCTGAGGCCCTTTGTGACATTTCATAAGAAGCTTATTTTTTACAGCAAGGAATTGTTAGCCCCACACCCAAACTCCAAGCTGGAGGACTACCCCCTGTTGGCTGCCTGTGACTGCTTCTTCAATATAATTGTAGCTACCCCCCATATCTGGAAGCTGTCTCCTCCATCTACAACCTGAGGGCATGCCATCCGGTGGTGACAAGGGACCCATTTAACATTGTAACAGAACAGAAGGGAAACAATTTATGCCTTCATGAAGTATAGTATCTGTAATGTCTTTTGCTTTGCAACACAGGATTTTATCTAAAAACCACATTTTAAATAAATGAACATCAAGGTTATTATTGTATACAAAATCATAAAGATCATGCCTGGAACATATATATATATATACACGGGGGGTACCCAAAAGAAACCAAACTTATTTTTTTTTAAACTTATTTATTCAAGTTTTAAGCACAAATTTTCAATCCCCTTCAAAGTACTCTCCACTTACACTAATACACTTGTCTAGTCTTTTATTCCATTTTTCAAAACATTGTCTAAATTCATCTTTTGAGATGCTTGACAGCGCCTCCGTCATTTTTTCCTTCACCTCAGCAACATCAGCAAAACGCTTTCCTTTCATGTCTCTTTTCATTCGAGGAAACAAAAAAAAGTTTTGATCATTTCGGGACTCTTCTTTCAAAGCACAGCATGCTTCCACGCGACCTTGTTTTTGTTCAGCAGTCAGCAGTCGTGGCATGAATTTCGCAGCCACCCTTTTCATTCCAAAATCTTGTCAAAATTCGCTGAACTGAGCTCCAAGTCACTCCCGACAGCTCCACAATTTCTTCAATGGTCTGTTGTCGATCTTCCTTGATGATTTCACGAATTTTTTCAACATTTTCATGTGTTCGGGCCGTGGAAGGATGACCAGAACGAGGTTTGTCATCAATTGACATTTCACCATTTTTTAAATGGGAAAACCACTCAAACACTTGAGTTTTCCCCATAGCATCGTCCTTGTACGCCGTTTTTAACATTTCAAGAGTTTCTGTTCCACTTTTCCCGAACAAAAAGCAGAATTTCACCACCGCACGCTGTTCACGAAAATCAGCCATTGCAAAAACGACGATCACACAAAACAGTTGTCACTGTAAACTCTGCCGAAACTAGTCCTTACCTTCTGAAGCAACGGTAGTCGACTTATCGACTCAGGAATGTTAGCTAAATGCGCTCATAGCGGCAAAACGCGGTACTACAAAAGCTCTGCCCACAAAAAAATTAGTTCGGTTTCTTTTGAGTACCCCATTGTATATATACTCCAAATCACAGTATGTTTTACATATATTTTTGGTATAAATTTATATCATACTGACAGACCGGGCATATGATAGTTGATTCAGCGTTCTGTCAATAAAATGAGTTGTTCATGTCTGAAGATGGTACAGTTTTTAGTCAGGATTAAAAATAATACTTCAAAAATGCAAGTTACCACTATGACAGATCAATGGGTTACAATATTTTTTCACATTTTCACGGTTACAATATTGGGTAATTTGTCTTTGTGAACCTCTGCCATGTTTCCTTCTTTGTTCTACATTTTCTGTTTGGCACTTACATTACCAACACTTTCCTTCAAGAATGAAAACATTAATACTCCAACATCTGTGATGTTAATCTACAGTTCTCCTCAAGACAAATACTTGCCCTTCATATGTCTGCCACCTTCTGGAACAAATTTCACGTATGTGGATATACACATCAAGGAAAGTCTCCAGTTCACTTCTCCTTTCTGCAGAACATTCTTCAGAACATCAAGAGTCTCTGCCTGGAGTCCAACTATCATCTACAAAGTTGCAATGTAAGACTCAGTCCTACAAGACTGTAGAGCAGTTAGTATAATACAAATCTGAATTTCATTACATCTTCATTTTCCACAGGACAACATGCCATTTAAAATCACCATGTTCATTCATTCTTCTTCAAACCCCATAACAACGTCTGAACCACTCATTCAAATTAGTGCTAATGTTTACTGCCACTGTTCCTTAGTTTTAATTACTAATGTTTCCTACTACATAGGTTATATGCAATCGAACAAGAGAATCACAGTGAATGATGAATGAGGGTATAATCTGGGAGTGCCAAAGCCTTCTTTCAGATACTATCCAAGAATCTTCCTGAGACTGAGAAAAGTGAGAAAAATCACAGTCACATTAGCTGGCCTGCAGACCAAGAATGACACCCAACCTATGCAACCACAATGTTTGATCCTAGCCTCACTCATTTTCTCTTCACTACCCACCTGAATTTAGTAGATACAGGAGCAAAGTGTCTACACCATCTCTGGGTCTCAGAGGAAACACCTGAAATTCCAATTAATACCCAGGAAAACCAAAACTATGATGTATAAAGTACTTACAAGATCAGTGCTATCTTATGCCTCTGAGACCTGGCAACTGTCAAGATCGGATGAAAGACTGTTTAGTATATTTGAAAGGAGGATCTTGGGATATACAAGGTGTGGCAATAAAGAAACCGGATTCATGCTCTAACCCTTTATTAAAAAAAAATCAGACAGTCGAAATGTTATCCCCTTCAATGTAGTCCCCTCCCCGATCCCTACACCGCTCCATGCGAATTTTCCACTGTTGGAAGCAGTGCTGCAGGTCATCTTGTGTTATGCTCTTCAAGAGTTGCGTCGCTTTTGCTTTCACTGCATCCACGGACTCGAACCTGGTCCCTTTCAGCGCAGACTTGATTTTTGGGAAGAGAAAAAAGTCGCACGGTGCTAGGTCCGGAGAATACGGTGGATGTTCCATCACTGGAATGTTGTTTTTTGCCAAATACCTCTTCACAGATAGCGCGTTGT